CCCCTCCCTCCCCTCCGCCCTTGTCCCTCAGCCTGCCCCGGACTGGTCTGCACCAGAGCCCACGGGCAGTGCCCCCAAACTGGAGCTGTGCCCAGCCCCTCCCCCCAGCCTCCTCAAGTCCCAGCCTTGGTGTCTGTCTGTCTGTCTGTCTGTGTCTGTCTGTCTGGAGATGAAACCAAAGAAGCTGTTCAAGGCCAGGTTGTGCAGGGGCTTAAATACTAAGGAGATAGGAATTTGTCCTGAGGATGGTGGGGATCCAGGCCGAGATGTCTTTAAGCATGAAAACAGTATTGCTAAATGAAAAAAAAGTTGAATAGTATATGATATTCTATTTGTATAAAGTATTGGATAAAAACCGGAAAAACACACGTGTGTGCTACATATATGCATGGAACATTTCTAGAAGAGTATGATGTTTTCCTTTGGGGCACAGAAAGTGGGGGATGCTTTCTAGTTCTTCACCCCCACTTACTATTATTAGAACTTTTGAGTATCACTTACTTTGAAATAACGTTTAAAAACTCATTGAAAGTTTAATTTGTTATTTTAAAACTATCAATAGTATTTGTGTCAGTTTAAGGTTTGCAAATGAAAGATTGCAATATCTTGCAAATATCTGTGCGTATAGTACTTTTGTTTCTGTGAAGTGAGCACTTAAGATGTAACTTTAACACCTAGGAAGTCATTTTGCCTGGGAACTTTAAAAAATAATCACTTTTAATTTTGATCAACTAGGATCATCTGTAAGCAGTGGTAATGACTAATCTGTTTTCTTTTCACCCCAGTGACTTTCTAGACTTTGTACATAAGAATCCACCCCCTGAAAAAGTCATTCTCTTTTGTAAGAGTAACAGCCATCCTTTGTCACCTTTATTTTTATCTTTGAAAGAGGAGGAATAATCACTCAGTCTTGAAACATCCAAAGTAGGTAGAATTGAATTATCTGAATTGAAAACCTCCCTGTAAATTGGAAGAAAAAGAAACCAGTGTATACACATAGATTCTCCAGGGACTTTTTGGTTAGCTACACTATGAAATCCTTAAGATTTCATAAGGTATCTTGTCTCATTTCCTTGTTATGAAATGGGGTTTTCAGCATCGTTGTTCTTGTCTGTTTCCAGATCACAGAACTATGTGGTGCCAAGCGGGTTGGTTATTTTGGTCCAACACAGTTTTACGTTGCCTTGAAATTAATTGCTGCAGCACAGTCTGGCCTCCCTGTGCGCATAGAGAGCATTCAGTGTGGTAAGTAGCTCCCATTTCTACACTTTATTATTTGTGACAGGTTTCTTATTTCTGAGAACCATTTTTAGTGGGTTTAAGGGCCTGTTCTATAAGCATTTGTGGAATTTCTCCTTGCTTTTACCAAATCTTCTGTAACTGAAAATAAAATGTAGCAGTATCTTAGTTTCTTTCTTTTAATGGGAGAAAAATTCAGTCACCTAGATTAATTCCTTTTAACTGACTTGCTTTTAAAATATTTTTTGTTCTTTAGCAGGAAGAGATTGGGACAAGAATTCTAGAGCCCATGGCAAAATAGTAATATTTGGTTTAATTTTCCACTAGAGGAATCTATAATGTCTTTTAAGACTGTGTTAGGGACAAGGGTACCAGTAACTGGGAAAGTTTGAGTGGAACTGCCCCTCTTCTCTGTCTTGTCCCTGCCAGCCGCATCAGATCTGATCATCCTTTAACTCCTCAGTTCCCAAAGCACTATTCTGATGATTAGTAAGTACTTTGGGGCTACCAAAATTTTAGCCGAATGAATTTATCTTCTCCAAGTTTTGACTTAACATCTTATCTTGCCATCCCTGCCCCCAACCTACTGTATACTTGAGCACTTTCTACAACTTAAATGAAAAGCAAAACCCCAAACCCTTAACATCATTTATACTGCCTCAATGTTGATTTTACAAATTTGTGTGAAGAAAGCAATTATTCAAGGGATGTGCTGAGGTCCTCTGTTAATTCACTCTGATATGGATTGCTTTCATATGTTCATACAGCTATGCAGGAACTTTTCCTTTTCCTCATTTTGAGATAAAAACGACTCAACTGTTCACACCTTTCCTGCAAAGTCCCTGGTAGACCTCAGAGTGGATTCAATTCTGTTAGTCCATGGTAACCTTGGAGGACAGCTCTAGGTAGCTGAGAAGATTGTGATAGCTCGACTGTGGGAAACAGCCCTTTTCCACTAACCACTAGGGGGCCAGGATCATTCTGCTGATCTTTATTAAAGGCTTAGTGTATGGTAGGCTTTGTGTCATTTAGGCCTTACTGCGTCCTACTAAATTAGGTATTTGTGTCATTTTGCATTTCCTAGGATAAACTGATAACAGACACCAGTGAAATCTCAGTGACTTAACAAAACAAAGGTTCACTTACTGCTTAGAAGTGGGTCGGGGTGACCTTCTAGGGCAGCTGCCTTCCCTGTGGTCCTGGCTCTGTGATCCTGGCTGCTTTATCTTGTGGCACCTCCAACATAGCTCTTTTCCCATAATTGCCACAACAGAGAAATAGTTTCTCACTATTTCTAGCAGTTAAATGCTTCAGTCGGCATGTGATGCATGTTAGTGCTGCTCACAGTGCATTGGCCAGAACTTGTCACGTGATCTGAACCACAGAGCAGACTGGGGGAGATGTAAATCTCCGATGTGCCTGCAAAGAGAGGAGAAGTGGCTGTGGGTGAACACTGGCAGTCTCTACTGTAGTACTGTTATTATCCCTGTCTTACAGATGTGGAAATTGAAGTTTAGGGGAGTTGAGTAACTTGCCTAAGGGCACAAGATTGGTAGAGTTTGGAGCCAGGAGCTCAGCCTCCAGTTCCCATGCTCTTCGTTGCTATGCATATTAGCCTTTTCTTGATTCTATTTAGTAAGGTGCTGACTGTAATCTGTAATCATGGAATATTATCCAAATGGGGAAGAAAATCTGACCCAAAAGGCATCCCTTCGTATTACATAATTTAGTTCCTTTAAACAGGTTTCTTGATGCAGCATTATTTCAGTGGCAGGTTTGGTATTTATTGTTGTAAGGCACAGCAGTGACTGCTGTAAGTCACTTGCTGTGATTAAACTTACATCACATCGAAGTTGGATTTGTGGTAGGCACTGATAGTTTGCATTCCATTGTAATGGTCACGAAGCTTTATTGTAGTATCATCCAACTTTATTTTCTGGAAAAGTTAGATCTGCTTTGTCGTGTACGAGAATAAACTTTTGACACTTTTGTTGATTATTTTTAAGTTAGACTGAAGTCTTTTACCTGGTTTGTGCCCAGATCTACAGTTCAGTTTCTGAGGGGGTGAGGAGAAGAAGGGGGAAGCATTGTCTAAATTATCATTTGTATACAGGATTAACACTTTTTCACACATATAAAGCTTTCTTGGTTGGATTTTATCAATCCTGGTGCCTTTTGCCTCTGAGAGTTTAAGTATACTCAGAGTTAATTTTGAACTTTCTTCATTTAAAGATTTATTTAAAAGTTATTTGTAGTCAGCCTATGTTGAGGAAGGATGAAGGTAAGATTAGGACAAACTTTGAGCTGCCACTTAGAATTTTCCAATTTGTTTCTTGAAATCCATTAGCTTAATGTGTGATGACACAAACCTTGAAGGCCAAAAGGCAGACTCTCTGAGAACCTAGTTGAAAGGCTATTGTAGCCCCATCACACCCAGGGAGTTGTGAGTTCACCCTTCTGTAAGAGCCCCACCCTTACTTCATGAATGACATGCACCTGTGTGTATGTGTGTTAGCCTCTGACCTCTAGCCTTTCCCATTTTGGTAAATGCCACCACCATCTACAGTTGCTCAAACCAGGAACCTAGAAGCATCCTTGATTCCCCCTTTTCCCTCACTCCCTAGTATAATCCATTAAAAGCTGGTTCAAGAAAGTATATAAGAGAATCAAAAGTATTTATAGTCATGGAAAGAAAAAATGCTGGAATAAGATTGCTAAATTACATATAAAATTGATTAATGCCCTATAGGGCAATAAAACTAGAACTTGGTTATTATACTTAGTAAGATGAAATTCATTTGTATTATTAGGCAAGAATTGCTTGTTAGCTAACAGTTTTCTACAGGTTAATATCCACCCTTTCAGAATTGTAAAATGCCTAATTAAGATAGTAAAAACAAAAGTATATGTCCCTAGGGAGTTAGGTAATCCTTGGATGGGCTCGTTAGATAATGCTGCTGTGTAACAATCCCCTCCCTACTTTATCCTCTCAGCATCTGTTCCTTCACAGCACTTTTATCAGTTTGTAAATACTCCTTCACAGGTTTGACTAATTTTTTATCTGTCGTCTTCACTAGTCTGAGAGCTTACCGGAGGGGAGGGGAAGAGAGGAGGATTTGGTAACCCCTGTACTATGGGGCATTGTGGGCACTCAGGGCATGCTTGTTGAATGAGTGAATGAATGAATGAATGAGGAGATGGATACTTATGCATGGGGAGTGAGTCTTAATCACCTGTCACTCTTCAAGCTCAAACAATTGGATTCAGAGTCAGCTGGAATTCCCGAGGGACTCTTATAGCACTCATCTTAGGCCCTGGTTTCCAGCCTCTCTTGCACTTGAGAATCGCCTAGAGAGCTTTAAATGCAAAATAAAAAATAGAGGTACCTGGGGCCACCCCCAGAAATTCTCATTTAATTAGCCTGGGGTATGGCCTGAACATTGGTATTTTTAAGAGCTCCCCAGGTGATTCTTACGTGGAGCCAGGGTTGAGAGTGACTTCTAATGAAAGCCAAGTGCAACATTTCCAAGAGCTTTGCTTAAACTATGAGTACATATTTGATTAGACCAGGGCCTGAACTAGGGTGAGGTAAGAGGAACCCTGGGTGCATAATTTAAGGGAGTACTCACTCTCAGGGCCGTGCAAGTACCGACTCTGCGATTACATGGCCCTGAGAGAATGTGTGCCTCCTTAAATATTGGCACTAGGCATCTCTAGCCTCACCTTAGTGAGAGCTAGCCAGTCAGGGAGCTTACAAATGCTGACCACTTCTTTTCTCCCTCAAGTAGTCCTCAGTCATCCATCCTCTCCTGGGCAGATCAGGGTACAAATTATTATGTGATCTTGCTTGATCTTTTCAGATCCTTTTTGCAGACTGAACTGAAACAAATTCCTCTCTGAGAAGCGAACCATAGAATTAGCTTATGTTTGATTTACTGAAAATCTAGATTTTCTTTTGCCATTTTTTTTTGAAGTCCATTTCTGCCTTGAGTGCTGGAGAGCTGCTGAGGGTGGGAAACATTAAAAATGGCAGCCATCCTCTCTTCAGGAGAGCCTTGGTTTAATTTTCTAGATTGGTTATTCTATTTATGTCTCTTGGGTCCTGGGCTGATTGATCATGCAGTGATTTGTCATATTGCCTACTTCTTTGAATCAAATGTGGACATAGCAACTAAAAATAAACATGATGTGGATATTAGAGAACCAGGAGTCTTCTTTGCCTGGGGAGCTAGGATACTTGCTTACTGTTGCTAAGATGTTTTCTGGGTTTAGCACAGCATCAATCATTGGAAGTGCAGCTGTGCTTTTGGACTAGAGAGTCGATGGAAACACAAAGGCACACTGATGAGTATTATCCTGAACAATGGATACAGATGCAAATCATTATGCATAATTCATAATATTATCCCCACTTTGGAGTTCTTTGTGTTGTGTGATTGTGTGTGATTTGCTGTGCTGAGAACTAGAAGTGTACCAAAGCATCATTTCTGTTTTCAGAATAGTTTTGTCAGATTCGAAAGATAAGTAAATATACTAGACCGTTGCATTTCAGTTCTTTGTAGCATTGTGAGTGTGGCTAATGGGTTTGACGGTGGAATCTGGTTGAACATTGGACTAATTGCTTTAACTTGATACCATTTTCCTTATTCCATTATGAAAAGACAACTGGAGATTGAGTGTGAAAATCCCTTAAGAAATGACATGGGCTGGGAAACTGTTCTACCCAGGAAGTTTGCCTTAGGAATGAGGGGCCTTTCTTGTAGGGCAGCAGCACTGGACACTGGGTATTAGCCAGCTCTGCCACAGATGAGCTGTGTGATCTTGAGGATGTTACTTAGCTTCTTGGTGTCTATTCCCACATCTGTAAAAGAAGGCTGATGATAGTCTTATCGAGTTGTTGTAAGGATTAAATGAGTTAATATTTGCAGATCTTAATACAGTATCTGGCATATAATAAGCACTGTATATAATTTTTCGCCTATTACCATTTGTCACTTATTGTGTTTATGCAACCTTACACCCTTTTTCTTGGTGCTGGACTAAAGGCTGAAGTGCAAGATCAGTCCAAAACCTGAATTAGTTCTGCAGTGATTTGATGGCATTTAAAAATGTTCAACCAGAATACTGTGGTAAAACTGTAGCATTTTTCTATCTTGACATTATTATAGGAGTCCTCATTGTGTCGAAATGAAAATTTAATCTATATTTAGTGCTCTGGAATTTTTCCTCAAACGTGATTCATCTTTTGGCCATTGAGTTCCCCTTTTTGCAGTTTTAAAATAAAGTCTTACTTGAGCTTTTCTGATTCTGGTCCTAAAGAATTGCCGCTGCCTCGCTTTATGATGTCAAAGACTGATGGTGAGATACGATTTGGGAACCCAGCCGAGCTGCATGGAACTAAGGTTCAGATTCCATATTTAATCTCGGAAAAAAATACCTTCAAAAGAATGGATGATGAGGATAAACAGGTAAACAGTCTGACCAGGCATGCCCATTTGATTCTGACCATGAAACCTCACGTAACAGCAGTGCCTCATGTCTGCTGTCAAGCTTCCAGCAAATCTCACCGTCTGGAATACAGTTACAGACTTGGAAGTGAGCCAGTGAAGTTCCTTTGTAGCAAGAAAAAAAGGTGGACACACAGGAATTGCCATGAGCCACCCATGGGCCCTTTAGAGCCTACCTTAATGTCGAATCGTGTCTCCAAAGTAAGGCTGCCGATTTAGCGCACTTATTTGATTTCTCTAATTAGCATTTCCAAATGGGTTCTTTGAAATGCAACTTATAGGACTTTTTAGTAGGTCCTCTCCAAAAAAAAAAAAAAGAAAAGAAAACCCCCAAAAAACTCTGGAGAAAAGGTTTCTCTGGTTAGATATGTTTGGAGAATGGTTCTTCATATTCCATTCTTGAGGGGAGACGAAATCCTCAGTTTGGGAGGTTCACAGTGCGCATTAGCACATTAAGTGCCCTGAAAAATCCTGCAATAAAGACACTTGGAGACCTGCATTTACTCAGCTTCTTTCACCAGGGAATCTTTTCTTGGGGAGCGTGTTTGGAATGCCATCTTGGGAACTACTGCCATTACACATTTAGCAGGTTAGGAAAGAGGATATAGGGAGGATGCACTTTTAAAATTACACCACTAGTTGTAATAGTTGGGTGGTGACTGGTAGATAAAAGTGTAAAATTCTAGAAGAGTGAAGCCTATCAAGAAGGGGTAAATAGTCGTATACATTGGTAACCCCGAGGGCATCAGGTATAGCCCATACTTCTAATAAAGATACTGATCATGCAGACAAGTCAAATTATATTCGATACAATATTTTCTGTAGGCAAAGAAATTTGTTATATTTTAGGAAGATGAATCAAAATGTTTTTTTAAATGCAGTGAAATTATAGGATTAAGTCAGAAAACTAATTTATATTGCTTACCCTGATAATGCCGGATATATGAGGTGTTGCTGCAGAAATTCTTTATATTTATGGTTAAGCGAGGTATAGTGTGTCGTCTTAAACAACTCCAGGTACTGTGGCTGCCATAATTCTGATACAGTTTAAACTATTCCTTCAGGGATATATGTAAAAAGGAGTGTAGGAAGCTTCAGTCAACACTCTTTGGCATGTTTTCCCACCAGCATTTGGAGAGGGATGAGGGTCCACTATACCGGGATGATTGATGCCCTAGGAACTTTCCAGGTCTATCTCCTGGCTGAGTGATTGAGGACACATTCTTTTACTTCAGGCTGGGTTTATGCTAGGCCCACCCAATCCGTGGGGGTGAGCTCACACTTCAAAGCAAATATTCTTTTTCTTAAAGAAGAATATCAATCAGTATCTCAGTTTGCATATTTTTTAGACTAACGGCACTTATATAGTGTCTGTTGATAAAAAGTACTGTGTCCTTGATACTTGGGTACTCCACAGTTACCAGTCTATTGGTAATATTAAAAAATGCAAAGGAGGGAACCCAGTAGCGGAGTGAGGTTGTTTACCTTGCCTAGAGTCCAGCGTCAAGTTCACATTTGAATTGAGAGTCGAATTGCAGTGTGTTTATGGCTCCATCCTAGTGTTTAGGAGTGGGCTACTTGGACTGGTTTACCCATAATGAACTGTTTGGCAATCTCTCAGTGCAAAAAACTGGCATTTTACTTGGCATAGTAAACTCCAAGAATATTTAGCAGTAAGAATTTTAAATATTTTTTTAAGTATCCACATTTGCTGGAAGACTTGATAAGTGTAAATGCAGGAAATAGGGGTCTTTATTAATGAATGAATATCGAATCTGTCTACAGAGAGATCAAAATTGGGGAGTATGAATGTTATTTCATGTGACCAGTGTCTTTTCTTTTCCAAAGGAAAATATTATTGGAATAACTGCAAGTGTTCCAGGCTTGTTTTAGTAATTTAGGTACCTGAGTGCTAGCGAGACTTTGTTCTCTGGGAGACTTTTGAATCCTCAGACACTGCTTTTGAACCCAGCTGTATTTTTGAGAAAACATTTCCACCATTTGTTAAATTAGCTGGCTCACCAGCAGTAGAGTTGCGTTATACTTCATAACTGCAGCTCAGAGTGCCAGGCTTCTCGAGTGATTGCCTCTGAACTCTGCTCTGGTTCTTTGAAGCAGGAAACACAGTCTCCCACGATGTCACCCCTCGCCTCCCCTCCTTCTTCCCCGCCTCATTACCAGAGGGTGCCCTTGAGCCATGGCTACAGCAAACTGCGGAGCAGCACGGAGCAGATGCATCCAGGTAAGAGGCGATCTCGGGCCAGCTGTCCCAGGCAGGGTCTTAGAGACGCTTTAATCAATCAGGCAGCAATGCCACCAGCTGCTGAATCTCCGGACTTAATTACTTCTGTCTTTAGAAACATGGCTCAATTTCATTTTATACTCTCAAGCAAGGTTTTTTTTTTTTATAAAAATAAAATGAAATATATCTTAGTAATGCCTTGTCTCCTGTCCTACAGACTAGTTCATCTTTAGACTGTAAACGATTTAGATGAGTTAATCCTTCATATACAGATTTCATTACACAGGAACGTGGCATATTAAGGGTTTGTATTGTTTTGCAATTGTTATTCCTTTCTGCAAGCACACCAAACATATTTATATAACAACTGCGTTTATGAAACTACTTAAAAATATAACTCAGAGAAAGCAAAAGAGTTGATTCAACCTTTAAAGACTGATGACATAAATGAAAATATTTAGCTCTTGTTTTTGGGAATCAGAATAAGGGAAATGCTAAGGGCAGGATGTAGCCAAGAAGTGTGCGCAGTGCCGAGTTGTGGGGTTGCCTGCTTGCTCCCATGTATGCCATGCTGGCTGTGCTAGCGGTAAAATCTGTTAGTTGATTCCGAGGATGACTTGCAGAGCTGGCTGCCCAGGCTGCAGTGTTTCAACTCCATAAATTCACTGCAGCATCTTGTCCTCCTGGGGCTCAGGCTCCTAGTTTAAGATATGACCAATTAAAGCTATTCTAGAATTGGATATTCATAACCCCCCGTTTTTCTTTTGTGGGCTGTGGCTGAAAATGACCCAGTTTCTGCACGTTTTTGCTGCATTGAAAATAGCGGTGATGGAAAATGTGTGCTAGGCTGGACTAGAGGCCGTAATCTTGCAGAGAGAGGCAGGTGCGGCATGATGGAAAAATCTTGATTGGAATTGGAAGGTGTGTGTTTATGTGACTAGCTATGTGACCTTGGGCAAGCCATTTAACTGCTCTGAACCGTGTGCGAGGGTTAGCGAGAGCACGAGTGTCCAATCTGATTGGAAATTAAGTCCTTTGCAAATGCAAGGTGATATTGTTAAGGGATGGTAACGAGAAATCACTCTCCTGAAACTCGAATGTCCCGCTGGTGTCTGCAGCAGAACGGGGTTGAGAATTCTTCATGTTCTTCTTATAGCCGCTCCTGTCTGCTTTCCCTGTTTTTAGAAGAGGGTTTTTAATTTTTTTGTTTTGATTCCTAATCTTCTTCGGATTTGGAAGTTGGAGTCCCGTGCCTAGCATAGATGAGTCATTTTTTGTTCTACTGAGTCAGCCTATCATCAGGTTCTATTATATCTTTTTTGATATTCCTTTAAAAACTTGTGTATACTCATTCTATTTCATGCCTCATTTTTTCCTTATACCATTCATATTGGGCTTCTGTTCCCCCAGGGGCAAGGAAACCACCTGCTTCTCCCATCTTCCTTGACTCTTAGCAGCCTCTGTCAAAGTTGTCTGTTTTTATTCTTTATTCTTTTTTCAGGTGAGGTAAAGTTTACATAGGATAAAATGCACACATTTAAAATCTTCAATTTGCATTTTAAAAAATGTAGACACCCATGTAGCCACCGGTTCCATCGAGAGTAGAACATTTCCATCACCTCGGAGATGCCCCGTTCCAGTCCCTCCTTGCTCCCCAGTGCAAGCACTGTTCTGGTTTTTATCGCCACAGATTAGTTCTGCCTCTTCTAGAACTTCATCCACATGGAATCATATTGAATGACTGTACTCTTATGCGTCTGCCGTCTTTCCCTTAGCATAGTGGCGGAGATTCACCCATACTGTTGTGTGTCTCAGTGATTCGTTCCTCTTTATTACTCAGTAGTGTTCCATCGTATGAATGTACCACAGTTTGATGTTCTCCAGTTGATGGACATTGGGGTTGTTTCCAGGGTTCAGCTGCTATGAATAAGGATAGTATGAACATTTGTGCGTGTGTCTTTTATGACATATGTTGTCATTTCCCTGGCACCTAGGAGTGGAATTGCTGGACTGAGGGTAGGTGTATGAGAAGCTGCCAGTTTTCCAAAGTGACTAGACCCTCCCACCAGCGATGTATGAGAGTTCATACTCCTTGCCAGTGTTTGGTCTTCTCAGTGGTTTCTTTTTTTCAGTGTTTTTAATTTTAGCCATTCTGTTAGATGTGAAATGACATCTCCTTGTGGTCACTTTTTCATTCTTGAAACATCGTTTTCTAAGTTTCTGTTATACCTTCCTGGTTTTTCTTCTACATCATGATTCTTAAAGTGGTGAGCTGCTCTTCCAGAGGGTTCTCCTTTGCACAGCATACCCACAGAACAGAGGCTGAGTGAACAGTCTCCTGTTTCTCAGGGAGTTGAGTTTTCTGGGTCTAGCCATCTATTAGGAGGTTGTTAGGTCCCTGTAGCTGGGAACAAAGTCATTTATAAAGAAAATGTTTACAGGTACTCCATTTAAACTTCTCCATCTAAGTCATAGGAAGAGAGAGCTTTTCTATCCGCAACTTGGGTCTATCTTGTGATTTCTGCTTCTAGTCAATACTATTCATTTCAAAGCTTGTTCATTCCTATTTTTATAGCACGTGTGCATTTTCCCCGCAAAGGACTTTCTTTACCTGTCTCCTTCCTTTCCTGCCACATACCTTTAGGTTAAGAAGAGAAGCCCACGTCTTCCTTTTCTCTCTCGCCACATTTCCAGAACTCAGTTTCTCTTCAGGCTTCCATGTTTTCAACCCATCTGACAAACCCAGGATTCTCCTTCTTCTTGTACTCCATCTTCCTCTTGGTCTACACAGTAGCACGTCTAAAATCTGTCAAACCTTAGTGACTCTGGTACTAAGCATTCTAGAGTTGTTCTTAATTTATGCCTTTTCGGAAAGGGGTTTTGCTGCTGGGATAATTTTCTAGGAATACATTTTTCTGGATTCACTTTCCTGTCCAAGATTCTGCCATGATTCCTGGATGGTGGTGCATGTGTATGAGTATGTTTTAACTCAGATCGAGCATCGTCAGATCAGTCTGTAATTCAGAGCCCCTCTTCAGCTTCTCTCCTGGGCCCCTAGTCTCACCTGCTGGATGTAGTCGTAGCTAATGTTCATTGGATAAGACTTATGCACCAGGTATCATGCCAAGGTCTTTATGTGCATTATTTTCTTTTTACCACAACCCTCAGAGGCAGCGACCGCTATCCATATTAAAAATATTTAAATCACAGTAATACATGTGTATAGTTAAATAATATTTAGATGCCTATAGTAAAAATAACTATTCTCCTTTCCATGCAACCTGTTTCTGATCTCCAAAGGCAACTACTTTTAACTCTTTTACCTGTTTCTTCTGATATCTGATGTCTTATTTCAAAATCAGTATGTCTGTTTTGCTTTTTCTTATACATCTTATTCTGATGTATCAATTCTAGGTATCTACTCACTTAAGAGCATGGGCTGCGATATCTGTCTCTTGGGCCTACAGGTAGACTTGGTGGGCCTACATTTCTCATTTCCAGCCTGCGTGACTGTGGGTATTTCACTTTTCTGAACCTCAGTTTCTCTTATCTATAAAATAGAATAATCTCTGTCTCAGATTTGTTCTATGGATCAAATGAGAAATGTAAACATCTGTGTCTAGCACAGTTCCTGGCACATTGTAGGTGCTCATATGTTCCCTAGTATTTTCTTTTGTGTTTTTAGACTGTGGCACCTGTTTTGTTTTTGAAATTAAGTATTTTTGAAAGTCACCTTCTGGATATCATTCTCTGGGGTTGACAGCGGATGTAGAGTCTTCATTGTGAAGTTACTTGTGGTCTCTGTTCTAGTTTGACACTGAGTCTCGGTGTGATGAAATCTTTAGGGTTTGTTTTATATTCCTCCTCTTGGAGGAAGATGGTACTTTTAGTTCCTTATTAAACCTCTTGTAAGGGGATCTAAAAATTATTATTTTTTGCATTGAGTTGCATGTCTTGGGTTTTATTTGGAAGGAAGGAGAGTACGGGCAATAAGTAATACCTACCTTTTTACCTCCTGAGTTCAGATCCAGGTGTGGAATCAGGAATCAGACCAATTATGGCCTGAATGTCAGTTGTGGTACTGATAGAGACGATCGGAGCACCTGTCTTAGATTTGTGACCACGTGCGCTTCAGCACCCACTTTTCCAGTAACAGGTAGATGTGGCCAGCCCAGACTTCCTACAGGAATAGGAAGAAAAAATCTGCCCCCAAGGCCAGGCCTCTCCAAAAATGATCCCCGACATGGCTGAGTCTTTGTTTCAGCCTTACTGATGAGGTAGGTCTTTATCTTCCAAGGCAGGCCCTCGTCGGTGGGAGACTAGAGCCATGGGCCAGATGACCTCCTCCGACATATGTCCCTCCTGGGCAGTGGAAGCGCCCTCTCTCTGAGGGGAGCCAGAGGCATGTGGGGTCAGCTTCACAGAGAAAGCTCGTGATCACTAGTGTTCCAACCATGGTACAGTTTACTGTGGTTTAAACCTTCCGACATTAAGACTGTAATTCAGTGTTTCATTAAGGTGGAACGATCTTAAAAATCCTTCTTCGATGACGACACCTGCCTACCAGCTGAGACTTATTTTTTAAGATTCGGATTATGTGCTCTTGGTGTTTCTTTTGCAGCTTTTATATTTTCAATCATTCTTAGCAGGGTCTGAAAATTCACTGAATGATTTGCCAGGCAATGATTTTGATATTTTAATGTGTTTTAATGTGTTACAAATTTGTGTTCCAGTTTCTTGAAGGAAATACAAAAAGCAGATGTGAGCCCAAGAGTGGTTGGTTGGTCTTGATGTGGTGGTGTTATACCTTCTTTATTTTAAAAAGATCACACAGTGCTAAAGGTGATGCCATAACAGGCTGCTCTGCTCTCTCTGCTTGATTTTATTTATAAGGAAGCTACTAAAAGAAAGCTTTTTACTTATTTACATACTTCCAAAAATTTGAACTGTTAACCCACACAGATCAGAAATGGTTTCATCTTGGGTGATAATTTCTTCTTGCTATTGGAGCTGAATAGTACCTGGTTATGTTTAATGTTTAACTGTTTTTCTACCATATTGGCAAGGTCGTTAAATGTTCTGGAAATAAAAGGAAACAAATGCATTCGTGTTTGTGGCGTAAAATTTTTTCTTAAAGGTAGCAAAATTATTTTTAGTTTGGTTATTGAATGATAAATATAAAATATATTTATTTTTATATTTTTCTCTACTTGGTTTTACATCTTTTCTTCCAGTGCCATTTTTCAAAAATAAACAAAATAATGTTGATTCTTGGTGTTCAAAATGCGTATTTGTTTTCTTCTTGGGTGGGTGATGGAGAAGACTTTTAAACAGGAGGGTATATATAGAATTTACCTTATATCTAGAATTTTAACACTTATAACATGGCATTTTTCTAACTGCTCTCATTGTTTTCTATCCCAATTTAGGTTTTCACCATTCTACCCTTACAATTTATTCCAATTCTTAACCTGATGTAAATATTTTCCTGCCTCATGAATTGGTTGGATATCTTTAGATTATTCAGTTAAATTGTACACAGGTACACCAAGGTTTCTTTGTGCTAGGTGGCCCTATGCACATAAACTCTAATTCCTTTGCTAATTCTTTCCTGAAGAGCACACTGTATCAGTCTGTGTGTAAAGTCATATTTTTGGGGTGGAATCTTTGTATACCATGCTGACTTTCCCTCCTGTTGTTTCAGCTCCATATGAAGCTAGACAGCCTTTTATTCAGCCTGAGGGACCCTCATTGGGGGGCCAAGGAGCCAAGCCCCCTCGTCACCAGGCTTCCCTTATCCGGGTGAGTGATGTGGGGTTATGCCAATGGGAGACTTTGGGGACATGGCTTCGTGATGAGGCCTCTTTTTTTTTTTTTTTTGGCAAGGAAGATATGAAACTATTCCTTCATACCAATATTGTACTTCTTGCTTTGTTGTTTGTATATTTTCCTAAATCATTTTTTTTTCTGTACATGTTTCTCAGTGTGTCTCGAGTAATCTAAGCTGTTTCATGGTCTCTGGTATGTCTAAAATGTCCTCCCACTTTCATCTACTTAATCAAGTAGGTACCTTCTTCTGGAGAGCTTTGCTTTTTCCAAAACAGTCTGTCCTACCTCTGCCTTATTCTTTATTCTCACTCATCTAGTGCATAGTTTGCTGTTACCCATTTGTTTCATGCCTCCAATTACATTGCAAACTTTTGGAAGGCAGAGATAGTTCTTCTGTTTTTTCCCTCAATGCCTAGTCCAATGCTGTTTGGAGAACAGTTATTTTACAAATGGCAGCAACTACTCTTTCCTATATGTAATAAATACAAAAGAAATATGGCAGAAGCGCAAGTGGTAGATCAGTTTTTCCTGGCTATACCATAGCTTAGAACATTTCAGCTTCCTTTTTTTCCCAGTGTTTTCCTTTGGATAAAGACCTCTTATTTTTTCTTCTGTGTTTGCAACTGTTTTCTTGACTAGTATCTTTGAGTCCTGTGCTGAGGAAGTCATATTCTCAAAAACGAGTGTGTGCCTGTGTGTGTGCCTGCATGAGAAAAATTATGAAAAGACTGGGTTCAGTGTTTGACCCTAAAGACAAGAGGAGGTAGGTTGGTTTGCATAACATTTGAGTTCTACAGCTTGGGAGAAGATATCATTTACGCACAGGCAGGTCTACTCAGAATAGCAGGGCGGTGTCAGATACTCCAAAAGAAATGGGCTGGCATATGGACCAGAATAGACAAAGGCTAAGGAATAGAGAAGCTTGAGGTGTTCACTGAATACCCGCTGGGGATGGAGAGCTGTGTTAGGCTTAGTATAGAACTTTTTCTTCTAAGGCGGTACTCTGTGTACGGAGAACTTTCTTAAAGACAGTAATTTAGCCATATGCTGTGTATTTAATGCTTCCTGCAACTATAAGGTCTCAGCACTGTTATATCTATTAGTATAGATGAATTAACTGTGGCCGAGAGAGGTCAAGTAACGGATCTAAGATTTCATTCATAAATCATAATTTGCTCCTAAGCGGCAGAGCCAGAATTTGAACCCAGTCCTGCTCAATGTCAAAACCTGCACTTTAAAATACTTTGTTATACATTAGAGTCGCATATTACAAGGAGGCTAGGTTCTAGAGTTGCTGCATAAACACACATTGGGTGTAGTAAAAAATTTTCCTGAAAATCCCTTACCGATACCACATTAAAGAGCCAAGATGCCATTTTCTCCTAGGTTCCGGAGAGCTCAGTTTCATTCCCGGGTCGAAACGGACAGCTGTATCTTCAGCTGAGCCCCAGGTGTAGTAGTTGGTTGCATTTAGAGGTCCTGTGGTATAAAAAGTATGTCGTTAAACATGAGAATCACACACATTGTGGAGTGATGGTTACTTTAGGAAAGGTATCGGAGGGACTGGATGGAGTTCATCTAAAAAATCTCCGTGGTATGGCTGTGTATATTTCTGCAAAGTGTATTCCAATGCTGTGGAGACCAAATCCTGAATGAGTAGAATGGTGATCAAGCAAGCAGTAGAGCATGAACTTGGCAATGGTTGGACAGGGTCCACTGGGCCATTTCTGTCTAGCTTCCTGGGTGGGATGGCCATGGGCCCTCACTTGGATTGGTGTCTTGTGACTTTTCTTCTAATCTCTCGGTGCATTTTTCTGCTGATAAAGATGCTTCTTGGGTCCTTCACTTAACTAATGTTTATTAAACACCTGTTACGTGCCAGGTGCTATGTTGAGAATACAAAAATGAGGTATAGCACTCCCATTCGCTGTTCTCATGGAGCAGCTTATAGGCTATTGGAAGAGATGGCCATTAATCAAACCATCACAAAGTAAATGTATAATTATGAAATATGATGCAAATGGAAATTATACTGTGTTTTGAGGGTGAAAAATGGAGGCGGGGGTTATGACCTAGCCTTGACAGGCAGGGAGCGACATTTGAGTTGAAACGAGATGGATTCGTAGGTATTAACTAGTTGAATGGAGGGAGTAGGCAAGAAAATCGAGGGGAATACACATGTAAAGACATTTTCTATGTGCTTAGCATTTTATACACATCATTTCTTTCAGTGCTCATAGCTCTTTTATGAGGTAATTCCTGTTATTATCCCATTTTTCAGATAATAAAACCTGAGATTTAAAGACCTTATTTAATTTGCCCAAGGTCACAGCTAGGAAGTGTTAGGGCTGGAGTTCAAACACTGGACATGATTCCTTAGTCTCTGGCTCATGAACCAGATGGATGGTGATGTCATCTGTTAAGCTAAGAAGCCCTGGATGAAAAACTGCTGTTGGGAGTACTGGAGAAAGACCATGAGTTCAGTGTTGGATGTTGGAATTTGAGGTTTTGAGATAGCCAAGAGGAGGTATCAGAGATGGTAGGATATATAGGTCTGGAGCTTTGGAGAGAGCCAGGCTGGAAATAAGTATTTGGCAGAAATTGTCCATTAGAAGGACTTATGATATAGTGCAGAAAAAACCAGACAGGTGCTCGCCCAGGTCCAGCCAAACTTTGTGTGACCCTGGGGTAAGTTCCTTCTCTTTTCTGTAACATGAATGACTTGGAATGGATTTCACAGTCCATTGTAATAACCTGCAGCAGTCTGATTCTCTTAATGTTTGTTTGGCATTAGTGGATTCCCCCCTCCTGTTTGGAGCATTGCCTTATGTTTAAGATGAGATCAAGGGGCCTTTCTTGGGACAGCAGTATGTGGTTTTTATGGCTGATGTGTTTTTCTTTCTTTAGTTCTTAGGTTTCCTTCTTATGCCTGTCAACTTGGTTTGGCTGGACTCCATGTCCCAGAAAGCAAAATGCCAACCTGAATTAGTCATGTAGATGAGAGGATCTGAAGTGAAGGGTCTTGGTGGTAGGGGATTAATATGGATTCGGCATAGCGCTAGGCTAGGCCAGGGTAACTAATTTCCCTCATGTCGCCATGTTAACATGCTGATGGCAACTTTACTGTCTTCTATCTTCTTCTGTGACCTCATATTCAAGCCCTTCCTGCCTGATTGGGAGGAGGTGGCCTGTGGGTCCTGGGGGAGGCTTTAGGGATCCTGGACCAGCACTGTTGGATTTCTTGGGCATGGCATTTTAGAAGTGCTTATGTGCCAAATTCAGCACTCAAATGTTGGCGTGAATACTCTTTTTGGTTAATGTTTTAGGAATTTCAAAGTTTTTTGTTCAGATGTTGGATGTTTTTCTCCTCGAAATTTCAGATACTGAGCATATCCTCTGTTGGTGGATGGTTGACAGTGGTTTGTAAAGAAACGATGAGTCTTTCTTGTTTCATCTGTTATCATGTGTTTATAGGTTATTTTCCCAAGTTATTCCAGCCATTAAGACTATGTAGTCATTTGTAATTTTGCTGGTATAGGATTTAGAATCGCCTCTACTCCTCTCCCTGTAATCTACTGCCTCTGTTTTTGCCATGGTTGCCAGAAACTACCTAGTGTTAAGTCCTTGTCTCATAGACTTCTTGGCAGCTTTTGACACTGACTCATCATTTGGTATCCAGGATGCCGTCCTCTCCTGGTTTTCCTCCTGCTTCTATCACTACCTCTTCCTAATCTTCTTTTTCAATTCTCCTTCCTCCACGTGCCCCTTATGTGTTGGTGAGCCCCAGATCCAATTCTCACTGTAGTACTCTTTAGCTATGTGGAGGCCGATGACCACGTATCTCCATCTGCCAGTCGTCTTCATTCGAATGTCCCACTGTCACTTTAAACATGTCTTTTCCATAAAACCAGCTTTCACCCTTCTACTCATGGCTCCATCCACTCATCAGCACAGGCCAGAATATTGGTCACTATCTCTGACTCCTCTCTTACCCCTTCTGCCCATTCAGTTACCAAGTCTTGGCCATTTCACTTTCTAAATACCTCTCTTATCTAAATGTCCATTGCTCCGTACTTCTTCTTTTCAGGCTATTTTCATTCATCGAATCTGTCATATCAGCCTCTAACTCTTCCTGCTTCCATTCTTGCCCTTTTCAAATCTATTATCATTACTGCAGACAAAAGTAATTTTAAAAACACAAATCGAGTCCTCCTCCCTTGATTGAAACCCGTCACACTTTGCCCATTGCTCTTAGCAAATCATTCATGTTCCTGAACGTGGCTCTCTGGGCCTGGTGTTTGGCCCCTACTGTTCTCTTCTCTCTGTCCTCCTGCCACTCAGAGCTGCTGGTTGTTTCCCATATGGTCTGTGTTCTTTGTGTGGGAAACTTGCTCTTCGTTCTTGCTTTGCCTTCTTCGATTTTTTCCCTTGTCTCACTTCACCTATGTGTTTTCCCAATCAATAATATGAAGTGTGAGAATTTTCTAATATTTCTTGTATATGTGAGGTTTCCGGTTTTCATTCTTAAAAAAAAAAGGTTTGTCACTCATCTTCTCATTTATCCGAGAACATCAGCCAGAGGGAAGGGCTTCCGATCCATATTGGTTTCCCATCCCAGAAACATTCAGTGTTGTCTCTTTCTTTTGTATTGTTCCAGGAATGCTTTATGCATCTATAAGTAAATGTAAGTGTTCTTATAGATATTGAATATATGCAATATATTTTTACTTCAGGGAGGCTGGTTTGGCAAATGAAATATTCATCCAGCCAGATATCACTAGAAAAAATGATCTTTTGTTTTAAACTAAGATATGCTCATGTTTCAAACTCTAAACATACATGCTGTGATGTTTTCTTCTCTTTCTGGAGGGACAAACTCAAAGTCTTTTGGGGTAAATTCTCAATACTCACTATTCTTTTTACGTCAAAGACAAAATAATGACAAACAACATTTAGAGAACTTTACCACCCTG